GATTGGAGCACTGGTTACAAATGTTCACAGGAAGCTAAACCTATACAACAGGTTGTGCCCTAATGTTAGCACAAGTTAGACTAGTCACTACCATGGTCGGTGGCCTTGGTGTGTTTGGGTTCAGATTCTACGTGGTAGTACAGTTTCTTCCAGTTGAAAGTCCTTGGCTTGCACCAATCACAGCGTGACCAGAGGGCACCAGACCAGTCTATTCATTTTTCAGTGTACTGTCATAGACCCGATAGATGTACCGAGAGACTTCAGCAGCTCTACGCTTCAGCGCCAGTGTATAATTTCGGTGTCCTGGCTGGATATGTAGCTCAGCCAAAATCCAAATGCCATTAGTGAGCTTTAGGGATCGGTACAGCATGTCCAGCCCACATTCCTCTTGGCAATCATATAAAAATTATTGTTTTGCAATTTGCTGGAAACAGTGTCAGCCTTTAAATGACATTCCTTAAAGTTCATTGAGCCGAAGTTCATTTTCATTGGGGATATCCTTCCATGTTGCAAGGGAGACCTGGCGCTCCATTTTGCCATCTTCTAGACAAAGCACGTTGAGTAGGACGAGGCAGCTGAAGTAGAAGACATCAGTCTTGTTTTTCACAGCCACCTACAGGTGATTCAGAGGTTCCATCTTCATGACCGGGCCCAAGGTGTGGAGAGGCAAGGAGACATCAATACTCTGATTTGGCATCAGTGGAGTGTGGGTAGCCAGAGGAGTGCTGGGGATGACACCAAAGCTATTCTTGTTAAACTGGATTGCAAAGTCTGTCATGTGCTGCAGAGCTTTGTTGGGGAAGTTCATTTCCATATAGATGTGTCCTTGGCAGTGAATAAATGTTCCAGATGTCTCCCAAGCCTTTAGCTTTTATTTTACTTCAGGCAGCCAGGCAGTCTTAGAAGCCACCTATCCACCAGGTGCCATGCCTATCCCCGTGGAGAGCTCAAATAGGTCATTCAGACCACTGTTGACCAAAACAGGAATAGGAGAAGAAGCAAAGGTTGTGGGCACTGATGATGGGATGGAGGGCTGTCCCACCGGACTATGTAGTCCTCCTCCTAACAGGTTTACTCTCATGTGCCTGGAGGACACCTGTGGCACATTGACTGGGGAACCAAGGTCAAGGATTATCGGAATCCTGTGTTGCGAAACTCAAGACTTGCTGTACCAGCTTGCTCCTGTGTTTCTGATGGTTTCTTGAGAAACAGCCTCACTATGGCATCAAGCAGAGTGAACTGCACCCGGGTGCTTTTCATCATGAAAACTCTCCAGGAAGCTCTCCTGTAACTCATCTGTTGTCAGTTCTCTCAGCTTATTCTCCCACAATCCAAATTGTAGCTGCTCAAGCAACTGGTTCATCCAGTGAGTCTAAAGTTCTTGCACAGAGTGGTAATGATACTTTCATACTTGTTGGGTATTTGTGGAACATGTCCCTGATGACAACAGTTACCTTTTGGACTACATAATTTACTTTGGTCTGGATGCAGTCAAGCAATGTGCTCACACGGCACTCAGCAGATGTCTCCACTTTGATGGCACACCGTACAGTGGCCCACACAGCCTTGCAAACAGAGTTAACATCCCCTTCTTTGGCATATTCCTTGAATTCTGCCAGAACCTGAGCAGTGTTGGCTTCAGCATATTGTAGTAGTCAGAGTCCTTGGGTAACAACTCTAGAAACTTCATTAGGACTCTTAACACTGAAAGCACCAATGCTGAGTTGGCACGAGATAGCTGGGGAGTTAACATGCTCACACAGCTGCTCTGAGCCTCCCGGTCATCTTTAGGGTTGTAATTAGGCAGTCCAAGATGAAAATCTGGCCCCATTCAGTGCACCTACTCGTGCTGTCAGCCGCTTATTCATGTTCTTTGGGTTTGGATCAAGTAGGTTGCTGTTTGGGTGAGATTCACTGATTTCCGATAATGCTGCTGTAGCATTAGCCACCACCATTGGTGGTGAATCTGCTATTTGAATCTGCTGTGAGGTCCAGCAGAGAATCCGGAAATCCCTGATCTTCCACCATTTGGGCATTGATATCATGGTGTTTTGCCACACAGACTGCTGCTGTTTTCTAAACATGCGGATCTTCATCCTTCAAGCACTTGCGGAGGGACTCGCAGGGATCTTCTATAATTTTGTCCACCCAGGTGCACCCCATGATCCTGACTGTGAAAGTCCGAATTAGATGATTGGAACCTTCACAGCCCTTCACAAAGCTGTGGACAGCCATGATGGTCATGTCTGGCTGACTGCTGGCATAGTTCATCAAATAGAGATACACAAGCTTCTTTAATTCCACATTGTCCGTTTGCGTAGTTTACTACATCTGGAAAGAGAGAGCTAATGTCCTGGGCCATAGTCATGGAAGCAGTCGCTTTCTTTATAGCCTCCTTCCTCTTTTCTTTCTTTTCATTGTTGACTTTAGCCTTCAACTCAAAGACTTCTCCTCTTTTATTGGTTGTGAAATACTTGGAGTCAGTGATGGTGTTGGATCTTTAATGTGCACCGGAGGCAAGGGTGGGAGTGCGGTGGCCAGAGAGCACGGTCCGAGTGGTGTTGTAATGGTTTCCTGCACATCACCAAATATAAGTGTCTCTAAAGGTTTTGTTATATGTTGTCAAATTGCTATCCAAAAGAATCCTAACTCATACTGCCACCACCACATGTAAAAGTCCTATTTCTCTTTACCCAAGATCTGTATGATTGTTTTTCCTTTATTTATTTGATAGTAAAAATATATCTCTTTATTTTTATTTTTTCTTGTAGACCACTAGTGAGGTTGAAGGTTTTTCCATAAATTTGTGACGATTCTTTTGCACACTGTATCTTCTTATTTATACACTGGTATATTAGTATTAATAATCTTAAGGATCTACTAATAAGGTTGGTATTGTTAGAGCTACTTCAGACAGACTACAGAGGAAGAAAGTAGGCATTAACTGTATTAAAAGCATAAAAAGGAAAATGAACTTTAGAAAGACAGATGAGAATATCTCAGAACTGAAATGCAGACATATTCAAACTTACTTGAGCCATAGGATGATAGAAATCTATTTAGACTAAAATTCTGTAGTGTTAGAGTTATATCTTGCTCTATCACTTGATTGGCTTCTAGTAGGGTATATAGCTAAATATTTAACTTCTCTTATTTGTGAAGGGAAAATATTATTGTCCCTTAATTACCTGGGTGGGAAGCAGTAGTGGTAATGGTGATAATCGCAGTAAAGATTTATTTTACCATAGATGACGTGGAAAAGGAAGAGAGCATGAATTCCTGTCCCAGAAGCAAGACTATGGCCAAATGAGTTGGGGATTGGTGCTTACACAGATATCACAGGAAGGACCAGGGATCTCCCTTTCTTCTTTGCCTCCCCCTCCCTTCCTCCAAACCCATAATGCAATGTCGTTGGTATAGACATAACTCTCCAACAAAATAGAATTACATTCTAGATAAATTTTTATGATTGAGATGGGGATTTTTAACATCAGATATGTTGGTATAAATTTTATATGAGCCTTATAAAGTCTCATTTTAAAAATCCCTTACAGAACACTGTTCTGTATGTCAAAGAGATGAAAGATAAAATAACTCATGGGATTTGAACCTGTGATTTCAGAGATTCTACTCCAAAGCTGCTTTTCTGTCATCAAGCTTTCTCCTCTGGCTAAGAACATATTTTAATACTGAAAAAACTATGCAAATGAGCTAATAGCCAAGGTGGTTGTTTCTATTCTAGCATATCATGAGGATGAGTTGAACACCTATATCCTTAGTTTGTTTGAAAAGTATGTTTAATGACAAATCTCTTTCTGTTCCCCAAAAGAAGTTCTCTTTAATCTTCAGCTGGAAAATTAAAGTGTCAACTTGATCCACTAGGATGTACCCCTTAAAAAATTGGCTAATACTTTTATATATTTTATGATTATTCATGTAAGTCATAGGCCATAAACTGATTAATGATCTAGCTCTCTTTTATAAATTTGCTAGATTATTGCTAAAACTAATTTCACCATTTATCATGTTATAGCACCCCCACTTAAGGAAAAATTGATTTGAGTTCATATAGATAGATTTTCTTAAGTTCCCAAAGACCTTAAGTTCCCAAAGACCACTGAAGACTACATTTATATATATAGTAGCTATATATTTCCATCACTTTTTTTTTTTTTTTTTGAGAGAGAGGGAGAGCAAGCCAGGGAGGGGGACAGAAGGAGAGAGACACACACACACACAGAGAGAGAGAGAATCTCAAGTAGGCTCCATGCTTAGCACAGAGCCTAATATGGGCCTCAATCCCACGACCCTGAGATGATGACGTGAGCCAAAATCAAGAGTCAGACACGCAACCAACTGGTCAGTCACCCAGGCGTCCCACTTTCATGACTTTTTGAAGCAGTGTATTCACATGCTAGTAGATATTCTTACTTACTTTTCTTACCAAGGAAACATACATAGTGATTTATGAAGTAGAAATGTATTATTTTAAAATTGAGAAACAAAACTGTCTTTCCTGAGAATAGCTTTTTCAAAATAATAGCTAGATTTTATATACTTCTTCTTAGTCTCTTCTTTTTTCAATTACTTAATAGTTTATATAATTTGATAAGCTAAAGCCATGTCTTATCTATTACCGAAAACAAAAAGGAAATGGTTTCTAAGCTTCTGAACGTGTGATGTACATATATTTTTAAGATCTTAGAATTTAAGACTAAAGTCTGATATCTTGGCCAGAGAGACTGTTAATAATGTAATGACAAAATGCTAAATTCGTCCTATAAGAATACTTTTTACTCGACTGAAGTCATGCATGGTCCCCCCTGAGATTTGGGTTAATTGTTCTCAAAGGAACATAGCTCGGGAAAGAGGGATTTGGTCCTAAGTTAAAGACCATTTCAACATCTAGGAAGGAAAATGTGAAAGTGTATTCGTATAGTAATAAAATAAACTATACATGACAAAAATGTATCCATAATATGTACTTTCTTCCTTTTCAGGTTATGCATTAGACCCTTCATTAGATAATCACCAAGTGTCTACTAAATATATTGGTTCTGTAGAAGAAGCTGAAAAAAATCAAGGTAATTTATTCAAATTTATTTAAAATATTTAATATCAAATATATATGTATGTGTCTATATCTATGTATACATACACTTATGATTACTGTCTTGCAGATTGACTTTCAGCAGTAAGAAAAAACTAGTGTTTTATTAGGTTGGTTTTATTTTAAGCTGAGACAATACAGTGATATATTTTAGAGCAGTATCATTTAGAACTATTATAGTTTAGAGCTTGTTTTTGCCACTCAACTAGGTGTGCAACCTTGTAGGGAAGATGTTGGTACCTATTATTCTGGGTTGTGATGAGCACTAGGCACAGTGCCAACCATGTAGAAATCATTCAATAAATTATAATTAATGTGTAGCTAATCTTGGCAATTTATTTCTCAACACTAACGTCAAGCTACATTTTTACAGAGCAGAACAAATTTTATTATACATTGTCTGTAAAGATTATCTTTAAAGGTTTGAAGGCTGAGTTTGAATATGTGTTTTAGAATATATGTTTGTGCAGATTTTCATTTTGTACTTACAAGACAAAGTGTCATATTCTAAATGCTAACTTCTCACAAAGCTCATCATTGGAATCTTACCCATAAAATATGCTCATTAGAAAAAGAATATGGTTGTATGAGGACTTCTAGTTAGTAGCTACAGACCCTATATCATATCATCCAGCTACATTATTGTTAAAATAGAATTTTAACAAGCTTTTGTTGTAATGCAACCTGAAGGAAACTGATTTGAATTAATATAGGTAAGCTTTTTTAAGTTAGACCTCTACAAGCCGTATCTTTTTTTTTTTTTTTTTTACAAGCCATATCTTTTATGTAGTTAGATTGTGACTGTGACCCATAAACCTTTTCCAATTTAGTGCCGGCACCCAGAGTGCCACCTCCTACTGATCAAATCAGAACCTCAACCAGAAACACCCTCTTTCCTCCTTTCTTTTTAATTCTAAGATTTATGATTTAGAGGTCAAGTTTAGATTGAGATCACTTGGAAGAATACCAGATTCTTGTGAAACCTTGTTTAATTAATATTGTTGAATTACAAGTGAATCAAAATTATTAATTTCCTAATGTAATTTAACCTAATTCAGTTTTTAAATGATAAATTTTAATTTATTCTTGCTTTCAAAAGTGGCTTTATCATTATTTAGCAATATTAAATTGCTGGATTTCTTTCAAAAAGTGGTAAAATCTGATCTAGGTCCATGATTCATTAAAAGGATTGTGTATCATTGTAGGATTACATAGCTGGGTCTTTTCTTTAAATAGATGAGGATTTGCAAAATATTGGGAACAGTAGGAAGCTTCTCTTCCCAGAAGGTTGAGTCTCTTTTTGTATACCATGAGTTGGTCTATCTGGCAGATTCATATAGATTTTATTTTGTGTTTTTAAATAAATCTTTGGTCACTTGAACAATCACTTTTCTTTAGCCATACAAAGTAAAAACATATATGCTCTATATATGTATTTATATAAATGCTGTTTCTTTAAAAAAAATCCATGTTTGTAATCTCTTTTTTAATGTAGGTTTAACTGTGTTTGAAACTGGTCAGAAAAAAATAGAAAAAAGGAAAAAGTTTAAAGAAAATGATGCATCTAATATTGATGGTTTCTTGGGACCATGGGCAAAATATGTGGATGAAAAAGATGTAGCCAAACCCTCAGAAGTAAGTTTTGATGTTTTTCATTGCCAATTCAGGTAGATGCTGTGTGTCTGTGAAGGATATCTATGTTAATAAACTTGAGATTTCCTTAGAGAACCAAATGATGACTCATTAGAATTTCCCTGCCATGGTTGAGAAAATACACTAAGATTTTTAAATTTTTCTTGGGAATATTTTTTTTTTTAAAGTATTATTATTTAATAATGACTCCAAAAGAAATAGAAAATCCTCTTCCGTGGGCCTCTCGTCTGCGCTTGGCTCCGGCGACTCCGTTCTGCTAATCCTCTGGCGGTTTTCTGGGTTATTTAGGCAGGTGTAGGTGGAATCTAAGTGATCAGCAGGACGCGCGGTGAGCCCAGCGTCCTCCTACGCCGCCATCTTCCCTCTCCCGGGAATATTTTTTTAAGTTTATTTATTTATTTTGAGGGAGAGAGAGAGAGCATGAGCAGGCAAGTGGCAGAGAGGGAGAGAGAGAATCCCAAGCAGTCTCTGCACTATCAGCACAGAACCTGACTTACGGGGCTCGATTCCACAAACTCTGAGATCATGACGTGAGCCGAGATCAAGACTCAGACGCTCAACCAACTGAGCCACCCAGGTGCCCTGGGAATATTTTTACTTATCCTTTTTCTGATTTATTTTCTTCCGTATTTTTTTAAATACCTTTTTGGTTTTTTATTTCATTTTTGTTGAGAGAGAGAGACAGAGCATGAGCGGGGAAGGGTCAGAGAGAGGGAGACACAGAATCCGAAGCAGGCTCCAGGCTCCGAGCTGTCAGCATAGAGCCCGACACGGGGCTTGAAATAATGAGCTGTGAGATCATGACCCGAGCCGAAGTCGGACACCTAACCAGCTGAGCCACCTGGGCACCCTGATTTTCTTCCATATTTTTAATTAAAATACAATATTGAACAATTTTTAAGAAAAGTTAAAATTTAATAAAAGTTGATAATGCTGTTAAACTATTGTGGTAGGTGTTCTTCTGATACTAGATATTCAGATAGTAATGTGAGTATCTAGAATACTAAATTAGCCTTTCTATGATTTTAGGATTGATGATGGGTTTTATTTATTAACATATTTAAAAATTTTAATAATTATCTATATTTTAAAATAATAATACCATGAAGTTTATAAAATAAAACTATAGACCCCTATCTGCCCCTTCCCCCCTCCTAATCCTACTGTCTCTATGGGCCAGTGACTCTTGTAGGTCTTAGGGATATAGCAGTGGACAAGATCAAGAAAATCCTGTCCTCATGAAGCTTATGTTCTAGCTGTATCTTTCATCAATGTATCTCAATTATAGACATATGCTGCTTTTTATTTACATTAGACATCATCTGTTGACTTCTTTGTTATCATAGGTAGGGACTTATTACTACCCTACCTTCCTTCCACTGCTCCTCCCATAAAAGTTGTCACAGATCTGTAGTCATTGCTTATATGCTTATGGCTTAGTAAAAGCTGTCATTACTGGAGAACAACATTATGTCCTAAAACGGAGTTTCCTTTACAGTAGTAGATTTTCTAATTGCTTTGTCTTTTCACTTACATAATTAGCATAACACATTAAATTTGCTTCTGGGTGTTCCAGAAGGATGGGTTTTGTATAAAATGATTTTAAAAGTATTAACTAGTACCTTTTATTTGTTAATGTCATTTTGTAATCCGTCAAAGAGTTGAGATTGTTATCCGAGAGACATACTTATAGCTATTGCTTCACCAAAAAGTGGACCTCATCATAAAGTATTTATAATCAGCCTTGGGCACGGTGGGGTTCTAAAACATCCATTTTAAATTTTTTTTTTTTTCAACATTTATTTATTTTTGGGACAGAGAGAGACAGAGCATGAACGGGGGAGGGGCAGAGAGAGAGGGAGACACAGAATCAGAAACAGGCTCCAGGCTCTGAGCCATCAGCCCAGAGCCCGACGCGGGGCTCGAACTCACGGACCGCGAGATCGTGACCTGGCTGAAGTTGGACGCTTAACCGACTGCGCCACCCAGGTGCCCCTAAAACATCCATTTTTAAAGTTCACTTCTTAATTTCCTTAGGAAGAACAAAAAGAATTAGATGAAATCACGGCCAAGAGGCAGAAAAAAGGCAAACAGGAAGAAGAGAAACCTGGGGAGGAGAAGACAATCTTACATGGTAATATATTTTTTATGCTTCTTCATTTTTATGATAAACTTTCAGATATCTACTCTGTTCTCTGTTCATATAGTATCAATTGCCCTTATTAATCAGCTGCTGTGCTTCACTGTATTAAGAATAATTGTATTTGACTGTTCGCATCTCAAAGAAATTATACCAGACTCTAATGTATTCTAATAAAGGAGAGAAAATAGCATGATTAATGATTGCCACAGATGATTCTTCGAAGTGCTAGTGAATTATTAAAAATGACAGGTAAAGAAGAGGTCTGAATTGTCCACAATCTATTGTTTCCTCAGAACAGACTCTTGGCTCCAGTCATCTTAACTTTTTGTTTTTAACCCAAGCCAGATACTCTCCAGATATCCTCCTAATTCATAATTGTTACTAAATTTTACTTTAAAAGAAAAACTTTTTTTTTCATGTGAATAGACTGGAGATTAAAATTCTTATACTAATTTTGATATGTGGAAGGAAATGCCTATTTCCTTTACATCAGGAAATATAGTCCAAAATGAATTATAAGTATTCTCAAATGTACCTGGTTCATTAATAATTAGTTACCTTTGGAAAATTATGTAGTGATTAGCAAACTGTAAGGAATAATTTAGTACTGATGTATTGGTTACTCTAATATTGATCACATATCAAATATTTAGGTTTGATGAGGCCATATTCGATTTCTCAAACTCCAGTTTTCTGGAGTTTTCTCTCCAAGGAGTCTGTTGAGTACTGTGATGCTTGCAGCCATAATAAATGTAACAGCCCACATCTATTGAGGACTATTCTGTGCCAGGCATGCCGCTAAATGTTTTATATATACTATGCCATTTAAGTGCCACCAGTGACTTCACTGTAAACTTTATGTTGAAAGTGGAGAAGAGAATGGAATAGGAACCTGGAAGGGCATAAAAGAGGAAAACAGGGAAAAAGGGTAGTTGATATTTTTAACTTCTTTTTTTATCCTGGTTTGCTTCTGAGTCTTTGCCAGTGACTCACAAGGCTCAAGTATTATCTTTTCTTCCCTCGCTGTAATTATGCTGCAGTGAAGTCTTTTTTATATCATTAAAATGTGTAACTAAGTAAAAGTATAGATCTTATTTAAAGGTCTGATAGTCTCTGGGTATTTAGAAATTCCAAAGTATTACCTCTAATTGTAAACAATAGCAGTGACTTCAAGAACTAAATTTTAGCTGACTCTTGGTCTTAACTTCATCAGAATGTTAGTACCTAAACCTTAATAGGGAACAATATCCCTATGAATAAAATGTTACCAGGGGCGCCTGGGTGGCTCAGTCGGCTGGGCGTCCGACCTCAGTTCAGGTCATGATCTCACAGTCTGTGAGTTCGAGCCCCACGTTGGGCTCTGTGCTGACAGCTCAGAGCCTGGAGCCTGCTTCCGATTCTGTGTCTCCCTCTCTCTCTGCCCCTCCCCTGCTCATGCTCTGTCTCTCTCTGTCTCAAAAATAAATAAAAAAACATTAAAAAAATTTTTAAAAAAAAAGTTATCATTTAAGGATATAGATTTTATGACTGTAGCTTATATTTGTTCACTGCTTTCCTTTGTTTTCTTATTTCAGTTAAAGAAATGTATGACTACCAAGGCAGATCCTATCTTCACATACCTCAGGATGTTGGTGTTAATCTGCGGTCCACTGTGCCACCTGAGAAGTGTTACCTTCCCAAGAAACAAATTCATGTGTGGTCTGGACATACGAAGGTAAGCAAAGTGGTCATATGGATTGGCCATGACATCACATTCATAATTGGTGTCCTATCCCCTTAGGGGTAACCCAAGCCTTTCCCCACATATTCCTGCCCAATCTGCTTTTTTCTGGAACCACAGCAGTGAATAATGGGTTGGTAGTGGCACTAAGACCTCAGTAATGTTGCCTTAGCTCTTGGGATTATCATGCTTAAGAGAAGATTAGATGGTTTCTGGTTTATAAACCATGATAATATTTAAACTGATGCAGAGACAAGATACTTGAAACTTTTGATGTTGATATTCTTTGTCATCTGCACTATTCCAACTGATAATTTTCCAGCTCCTAGCAAAGAGCGAAGGAACTGAATAAAAGCAGGAAGAGGAGAGAGAGCATTAGCAACTTGATTGACTAAGAATCCCCTGGGGTGAGCAAGTCAGTATTAAAGGTCAAAAAACAAATCTTCAAAAACTTAGTGTCAATAAGGGCTGCTCTTGGACTACTAACAAAGGTTATTCTGGGGCATGATTTTTGGAATTAAGAAAAACAGTAAATTAGGTTGCTTAAAAATATATCATACTTTCCTTGTTTCACTTTAGCGGACATTAGACTCCTTCTGATTGATAACTGTAATACCTTTTTATAGGGCGTCAGTGCTGTCAGATTGTTTCCTCTCTCTGGCCATTTATTGCTGTCTTGTTCCATGGACTGTAAAATTAAGGTGAGTTTTCAGTAACAGAGTAGGAGTGCTGCAATGCTAGTGCTTTGGTTAAGTCTATTTGGTTAATTATAAATAAATTTGGGTTTGTTAGGCAACTAGAGGCTAATTATTTTCTCTTAGGCCCTGTGAATGCAGCCATTTATGAATTGCTTCCAAACATGTTGATTCAAATATGGCTCTGTGGTCCAACTGTCTAGGCTCATTTGTAAGCTTAGATAACTGATTAGGATGTAATCAATCACTTTGGCTTTAGATATATAAATATTTAATCACTAATAATGTATTTTTATAGAGGCTTTGGATACGTAACAAATATGAGTTCATTTGTTCCTCAGAACCTTATGGGGTAGAGAGGACACATGATAGAAATCCCATCTCAAAAAGTAGGTAACATAATTCATCCTTTTTCTTATAAATGCAAGTAGACACCAAGTAGCAGAACTGCTCCCAGCCTCTTCTCTCAGGTTGTACAGTCTTGGGAAGCTCCACTTTAAGGTTAAGTTTCCGCTATAGAGTATGTGGGGAAAAGGCTCAGTTGCCAGAGCATATCAACTTGAACATGGGAGAAGCCTTTTTAAAACTAAAGTCTGAAAGAATAGTGCTCTTTTTTGTGTCTTCTGTGTCTGCATTATTATGATGGTCAAGACATATCAGCCTTCTAGTACGCTTGAGGCTTAGAAAGTTGAATCATTAAAATTGTACTCTGTGTAAACAACTCAATGATATGTGAAGGTAGCTTTTTTTGATGAGGGCAGTCATTTAGGCAATTGTCTCTACTCAGTAGCTTAAAATGACAGGCTAACAGTTTGGAGTAGAAAAACCTTGTTTCCTTTAACTTTCACTTCATACAAACTATATTAAGATTAAGGTCTTTCTGACCAATTGAAAAAACATAGAGTTCAATTTACTTCATTTCCTAAGCATTTTTTAGGTACCTAATATGTCAACAGGCCAAGACTAAAAATATATTAAGACCCTCTCCATGGGGCGCCTGGGTGGCTTGGTCGGTTAAGCGTCTGACTTCGGCTCAGGTCATGATCTCACAGTCCGTGAGTTCGGTCCGTGAGTTCGAGCCCCGCGTCGGGCTCTGTGCTGACAGCTCAGAGCCTGGAGCCTGTTTCAGATTCTGTGTCTCCCTCTCTCTCTGCCCCTCCCCTGTTCATGCTCTGTCTCTCTCTGTCTCAAAAATAAATAAACGTTAAAAAAAATTTAAAAAAAAAGTTTAAAAAAGACCCTCTCCCTGACCTTAGGGTGATCATTTCTTTATGATGTAAATGATGCTTATAGAACCTGGCATAAGGTGCTTTGTTTTCAAAGAGGAAGCACACTTCAGTAGGAGGGTAACTAAGTAAAGGGGATGGCGGGGTTGGGGGGGGGGGAGTGTAGGGAGTGAAGCAGGTCCAAAAATAGTGAATAGGATGCATAGGCATGGCGTGTGCTGAACACTGTAAGTTTGTGGTTTCTGGAGTCTCGAATCTGAGAGATACAGAGTGGCAACAGTCATAGGCCAAGGACCAGGTAGGTCCTGGAAGTCCTTTGCCTGGTATGCTGCAGGAACTGAGACTTTATGCTGTTGGCACTGGGTGGCCAGGAAGTGCTGTTTTAGAACACTAGTAACATTACCAACGGTTTGATTTGAGGTAGGCAAGAATAAAGGTAGTTTTGAAGCTATTGTATTAATTCACTTTAGATGTGATGAGAATTATTAGCCTATTATAGTGTAGATCATCATTTTCATATAGCTTCTATAATATTTTGTGACTTCAGTAAGTTCCCCAAAAATGAAATACATTTGGTAAGGACCAAAATGTTATAAACATGGCAGTTTTTAATAGTATTTAATTCTTCCAGAAGTAGCTTATAATATTACATAAAAGTTTTCATCATAGAAAATATATCAAATACAGAAAAGAACAAGAAATGAAAGTCACTTTTATTAGCTCCATCTATGTTCTCTTGATATTTTGGTGTATCTTTCAGTGTCAGATTTCAAATTTATGTGTGTGTGTGTGTGTGTGTGTGTGTGTGTGTGTGTGTGTGTGTATGGTTCAAATGTTGCAACATAGACTAACAGCTGTAAGCAACATGTTCCCTTAAATATAATGCCTTTGGTTAAATCCCCTGTACACACATATATGCACACACATAGCCAGCATACGACTGTTGTTATTGATTGAAACTTGTCATTTTACCCAAGTCTTCTATTAAATTTAATTTCTCTGTGTTTTTTTCCCCCAGCTATGGGAGGTTTATGGAGACAGGCGCTGTCTACGAACATTTATTGGTAATACTTCTTTTATCTCTGGCTATAAATCTGTTTGGAAAGACTTTTTTTTTTTTTTAATGTTTATTTATTTTTAAGAGAGAGAGAGAGAGAGAGACAGCATGAGTAGGGGAGGGGCAGAGAGAGAGGGAGACAGGAGACACAGAATCTGAAGCAGGCTCCAGGATCCAGGCTGTCAGCACAGAGCCCGACACGGGGCTTGAACCCAGGAACCACAAGATCATGACCTGAGCCAAAGTCGGACGCTTAACCGACTGAGCCACCCAGGAGCCCCTGCTTGGAAAGACTTTTTTAAACTAAGATAACATCATTAACAGTAATTTCATTGTACCGATAATGAAGGAAAGTTTTCTTCAAAAACTTGAGCTGAGTCTTGAAGAGGGACTAAGTCCTCCCAAATAGACAAAAAAGGGAACTGAGAAGAAAAGCAAAAGTGGTTTGAGAAAGCATGCTGCTTTGGGGCAGCCAGGTATATTTCAGAATTGCCAGGGTATGGGATATGGTGAGAGATGACAAGCAGAGAAAGCAGTATAACAAGAGGCAAGGCATGGAGGACCTTACATGCCCTTAGTAGGGAGTGCAGAATTGGGGTGCCTGGGTGGCTCAGTTAAGCGTCCGACTTCGGCTCAGGTCATGATCTCACGATTTGTGAGTTCGAGCCCCGCATTGGGCTCTGTGCTGACAGCTCAGAGCCTGGAGCCTGTTTTGGATTCTGTGTCTCCCTCTCTCTTTCTGCCCCTCCCCCACATGTACGCCCACACTCACACTCTCGTGCTCTCTCTCTCTCTCTGTCTCTCAAAAATAAACTAAATTTTTTAAAAATTAAAAAAAATAAGGAGTGTAGAATCTATCCAGAGGACCTTGGAAAGCCATCCATTAAACGGCTTTTGCAGGAAATTAGCTTAATTAGATTAGAAGTTTATAGAGATCACAGTGACAGTATGGAAGATGTTTTGGTGGGGCAGGCCCGCTGGCAGGGAAATGAATTACAGGGTTATTTCATTGGTCTAGATTAGAAATGCTAAGAGTCTGGACTAAAGCGGTGCATAGAGAGGAAAAACAATCAAGAGTTAAAAATCAGCAGGACTTAGCGGATGTAAGTGATAAGAGTGCATCAGGAATCTAGGGTGACTCCCAGCTGGCTGGGTGAATGGTGGTGCCATTTGCCAAGAGAGGGAACAGAAGAGGATGATGAGGTATCACTTGTTAAGTTTGAGCTGCCTTTGGGATATGGAGATGAAAATTTCCAGTAAGCAATTAGATAGCCAGATGTTGAGCTTTGAAGAGAAGTTAGGAATTGACAGCTACAGCATACAAAAGGATAAGATTGAGTGAACTCCTTGAAGGAGAAAACAAGGCCAAAAAGCGAACAGCTTCGTGGCAAACCTTTCTGGCAGAGAATAGTTTACAGTCTTGGGCAGATTTCATATGAAGGCTGGTAATGTTTCCAGATTTAACTGTACATCATCGAGACATTATTTGTGTAAATCGTAGTGGCTCTGTTTTTAGATTCAAGTGGGAGTCCGTTCTGCAGGCTTTGTTATGATTTTAGGGCCTCACCCCACAAATAAATACTGCCCAAGGTGCCTATAGGAGGACTTGTGGGAAGGCTCTCAGCAGCGTATGGGGGAACAAAATGCCTCCTGTACATTTAGTGGCTTTGCTCCCCATCTGTCTCCCCACCGCTCCCTGGCAGTTTTTCAGTGGAAAACTGAAAATTACCTGCTTTCAGAAGATGGGACTCTTGCTGTAGAAAAGAATGCCTAATTACTGTAGCACATTGCCTGACTAGTTCACTGGTGGTGCTGGTTCAGGGCTGCTGTGTGTGGTTGACAATTTGTGCAGTGCACATTTTGCACAATTGTACTTGTCAGTCTTGGTCATGATGGGGTGGTAAAGAATAGGAAAGTTTCTGCTTTCATTTAGCTACATTTTATTTGTCTCTGTAACTTTCAGAAGAGTTGACTGGCCTGGCAGGATTGATTTCCAAGCAAAGCACTTTAAAATTAATATATTGTCAAAATGCTATCTTAAAATAGAAATTGATATTTGTTTCAAAAAGGTTTATTAGTCTCGGAGATTCTGAATTCACTTCTGTGAAACTTGGTAATGTGATCACAGAAATCCACAGCTACTGAAGAAGGGCTGTGATTCCATGAACTTGAGGGTTAGGTCCCTTTGTTTCACTTAGTAATCTGGAGAGCGAACCTCCGACATGTCACTAGTCCCTTCTTTTTTGTTGGCAATAATTGGCCTGTTATGTTTCCTTAAATTCTTGACTGCTTAGTCATCAGTTATGTGTATTACATATTAAAAGATTGCTATGACCAACTTCAAAAAAAAAAAAAAAGTTTCCCCTTGTCTCTTGGTTCTTACCTAAATGTTATGCCTCAGAAACACCCAGGGAGCTTTTTGAAGGGGAAATAAAAAAAAACCGCCTACGTTCCCAAGCCCACACCTAACTGAACTCTGAGTCAGTAAGTCAGGGAATAGGATTCCAGAGATTTTGACTCACAGTGTGGCTTGAAAATGCTATTTCTCTTACAGTGCTTGTGTTTTAAGAGATATTTCACCTCACCTCCATTTTTATTGTCTCCACCTTTAGGTCACAGTAAAGCTGTTAGGGACATCTGCTTTAATACTGCAGGAACACAGTTCCTCAGTGCAGCTTATGACAGGTATCTTAAGCTCTGGGACACTGAGACAGGTAAGAGCTCACTGATACTAATCCATATTTATCTTAGAAATTAGCATTGATAAATGAAATAGTGTGAGTGGTCTTCTGTGGCAGATGATGCCATCTGTAACTGCTGATTCTCATACCACCATCAACTAGTATCATAAAATGTAGAGTTGAAACTCAGCTACGTAAGTAGCTTTTTTACTATGAAACTTTGTTTCCATCAAATACAATTTATAAAGCAAACGTGCTGATAGACAAGCAAATCTGAAATCTTCCATAGACTATTTAATTGATTTTTGTTCTCTTCCATCACGTAGCACACAGCATTGCACATAATGGAAGCACAATAAATGTCTGATGAACAACATTAAATTTAATTGCCCACATTGATTAAAATAAGTCAGTTTACAGGCCCATAGGCGAGTTGGTTTTATATATTCACAAACATTAATTGCATCAGTACGTTGTGGCCAGTATGGTTTTGTATAACCATCTTTTGTCTTACTGAGTTTTAAGGGGAAAGGTAATAGCTCATATTTATTGAACACTGTTTACCAGGCATTGTGCTGTGCACTTACGCCCAGTATTGCATTCAATTCTTAAAATATCCCTATAATTATTCTTATCATTCCTATAGACGAAGAAACTGAAGCTTAAAGAGGTAACTTTTCCAGAGTCACACAGCTAGTAAATGGCCGAACTGGTTTCAGCCAAGGTGTAATGCCAAAGCCCACACTCTTAACCCACGGTGGCTCTCAACTCCGGCTACACATCATAATCATTTTATCTATTCTGCAATTGATGATTCACTTTTGAAAAATTTATTTTTAATCATTAAGAATCTGTGAAAAGGAACAATGTAGTTTATAGTAAAGAACAAGCAGGCTGCCCTTCCCCAAAATTTATTAAGCAGATGATCTCTAGATTTTCATCCCAGGGTTTATTTTACCTACCTTAACTTGAGTCTTTGGTTTTAGGACAGTGTATATCAAGGTTTACAAACCGAAAAGTGCCCTATTGTGTCAAATTTAATCCTGATGAAGATAAGCAAAATCTCTTTGTAGCTGGCATGTCTGATAAGAAGATTGTGCAGGTAAGTCTTTTCACAGTATTTTAGTAAGATTTCTACAGCTTATGTTGTATTAGGGGATGGAATAAAGAATATTAACTTGTTTAACGCTTGCTGCTCTTAGGGACTGCTAATGGGCTATTTTTAGTAGAAAACAGTCGGTCGTAAAAAACATTATGTTAGAGATTTTTTTCTTCTTCACTTTCCATGGGTCTGATATCTCTTTATTTTCATAAATCTGCTCCACTTCTGGGTGTTTACCTCTTGTCTTGTTTGATGTACAGTGGGACATTCGAAGTGGAGAAATTGTTCAGGAGTATGACCGGCATTTGGGAGCCGTCAACACCATTGTTTTTGTTGATGAGAACAGGAGATTTGTGAGCACATCTGACGATAAGAGCCTCCGAGTTTGGGAATGGTGAGTTTCTGTTGGTAGAAAATCTGATTCATATATAAATAGCAAGCAGTTTAAAAATCTGTAGCCAAAGAAAGACCAGCCTTCGTACATACTATGCAACCATTTGAAGATTTTCACAACTGTGATCTCTGGCTTGCCAACCAAACTGTTGTAAATATTTAAGTATCCAGAATATGGAAATAAAAATGTAGACCTGCTACCTTTGATAGTCTTGGGACAGTCTAACCAAAGGCTATATGTTTGGAGTCATTTTTCTTGTATTGCCGACAAGTTTATATTGTTTTGACTTAGATTCGTTAGGTGCTTTGCAAAATGACCGATGACATAGGGCCCACAAATGTATAGACTGTATTGTTCACGGCTGGGATTGAGCATTAGATCCTGGCCTCAGAGCCAACCCAAAGAAAATATTTTAAAACATCTTGATTTTTTAAATGTCTGTATTATGATTATTCGGTACTGAAAATTGCCCCATGTCATCACCCATCGTGTCCTGCTATTCATAGCCCATACTGGGAGAAAACAGATGTTTTATTTGGAGAATATATTGGTTAATTTTGCTTTCCCAGAGAAGGGGAAAAAAAAAAAAACAAAAAACCAAAACACTTTTCTAAAGTCAAGAAATACTAACGCTAGTTTCACTCAGTATCATAGGTCATGTTTTATAATTTCCTTACAAAGAAATGCATAATAATCTTTTTGTTAAAATGAATGTTTGGATGGAGCCCAGGTTGTTTTTATAGTCAGTTAGGAAGCACAGCTTAACCGTGGTTATGGCCTTACAGGGACTAGAAAATGTGACTTCTCACCACAGAAGTTGTTCTGCTTTAAGAAGTGGGAAGCCCTGAACTACAGCCAGTAGTTTCCTCCTGAAACTGAAAACGGAGTCCCTTTGGGGAGCTGAGCAGGTCCCTAGCCACTGTCAGGGAAATTTGAGTAATTGAAGGTTTCATGTAATTTAACTGCAATTTCTCCCACACTCACCACCAGTACACCCCTTCAAATCACCCCCATTTCATGGGGAGCTGACTTCATACTTTATGTATAGTTTTTATGTCATCCTTAAAGTACATGCTTTGAGACCCTCTTATAACTAAGATCTTTCTGTGGAAGTGATGTTACATGCACAGAATCTGACAGTTCGATTATACTTAAACTTTCAGATGTTTCTATCTTCAGATAGTATTTCAGCTTTGTTTTAAAACGTGGATGGTATAAAAGAAATGGGTAAATATTTAAATGATGCACCAGTTACAGGGCTCTAAGAACACTTGTGTGTGTTTTCTAAATGACAGCATTGGTCAGCACATATTTTCATTACATTAAGGGGTGAGCTCAGCATGTTTCTTGTTTTCCCTTCTCAGAGCTGAAGAAATGCTCCTAAGAGTCCTACTACTGTTTCATTATAAATGATGACATCCTTAGACTTACTTCAGTTTAATCCCCATTTGCTAGTGGAGCCTTCCTCACAATCCTCACACGAGGATAAGTGCCTCCCATCTGTGACCCCACATAATGCTTTGCTTCCCACCGCTTTTCAGTGCTTGTGTATTTGTTCCTCTTCCCTGACAAGTTCCCGACCGAGAGAGACCTGTGTCAGCCGTGCTCACGGTGTGTCCCCAGTGCCAGCACAGTGCCTGGCATGCCGTATGCACTGAGTGTCTAAGGGAGTCGTTACTGTCATAGTGATTAATGACGCTGCATCTATTGAGCCCTTTCTGTGTGCCAAGCATCCCAAGCATTTTGTGTGAGCTCTTTCATTTCATGTGCAAAGTAGTTTTCTGGAATAGATATATTTGCTATCCCTGTTTTTATAGATGAGGAAACTAGTATAGGTTAAGTAATTTACCCCAGGTTCCATGACACATGAAAGGCCAGAATTCAAACCTGTATTAAACTTATTCCAAAGCTTAAGGGTTTTTTTTTCCAGTTCTATTAAGCTAGAATTGACAAATAAAATTGTAATATATTTAAAGTTTATAACATAACGATTTGATATATGTGTACCTTGTGAAAGGATTCCTACCAAGTTAGCCCATCTACCACTTTACAGTATTTTAATATTTACCTTTTTTGTTTGGTAAGAACACTTAGGTTCTATCTACTCTCTTAACAAATTTCAATTATACAATACAATAACTATAATCACCATGTTCTACATTAGATCTTCAGACCCTATTCATCTTACAACTAAAAGTCTGTACCCTTTTACCAGCCTCATGTAGTTCCCTATCCTGATCCAACCATCTGGCAGCCACCAATCTACTCGATTTCTGTAAGGGTTTGACTCTTGTTTCTTTTTTTTTTTCTTTTTTAAGATTACACATATAAATGATAATATGTAGTATTTGTCTTTGTCTGGCCTATTTCACTTAACGTAATGCTGTCCAGGTTCATCCATGTTGTTGCAAATGGCATCGTTCCCCTTTTTAAAGGCTGAATAATACTCCATTATATATGTAAATACCACATTTTTTTTATCCATTCTTTCACACCTCGGTTGCTTTCCTACCTTGGCTATTGTGAATAATGCTGCATTGAATATGAAAGTACAAATACCTCTTCAGGGTAGTGATTTCATTTCCTTTGGATATATACCCAGAAGTAGTATTGATGAATCATATTGTAATGCTATTTTAAATTTCTTGAGGAATCTCCTTGCTATTTTCCATAGTAGCTATACGCACCAGTTTACATTTCCACCAACAGTGCACAAGGGTTCCCTTTTCTCCACATCTTCACCAGCATTTGTTGTCTGTCTTTTTGATAATAGCCATCCCAACATGTAAGGTGATATCTCATTATGGTTTTGATTTGCATTTCCCTGATGATGAGTGATGTTGAGCACTTTCTTGTACCTGTTGGCCATTTGTATGTCTTCTCTGCGAAAATGTCTGTTCAGGTCCTTTGCCCAAGTTTTACCTGGGTTACTTGGATTTTTGATAATAATTGTGTGCGTTCCTTATATATTTTGGATACTGCCCCTTATCAGATAATGTGGTTTGCAAATATTTTTTGCCATTCCTTAGGTTGCCTTTGCATTTTGTTGATGGTTTCCCTTTGCCGTATGGAAGCTTTTTACTTTGAGGTAGTCCCACTTGTTTATTTTTGTTTTTGTTGCCTTGCTTAAGGTTAGTCTAATCCAGAAAATATTTGCAAAGACCGGTATCCAGGAGCTTCTCTCCTGTGTTTTCTTCCAGGAGTTTCAGGTTTTATGTTCAAATCGTCAGTACATTTTGACTTGAATTTGTGTGTGGTGTAAGATAGGGGGTCCTGTTTCATTTTTTGCATGTGAATATCAAGTTTTCCCAACACCACTTATTGAAGAGACTGTACCTTCTCCATTGTGTATTCTGTGCTCCTTTGTCAAAAATAAGTTGATTATATATGCATGGATTTATTTCTGGGCTTTCTGTTCTGCTCTATTTGATCTGTGTTTTTATACAATACCATCCTGGGTTTTTTTGGTTTTTTTATACTAACGGATTATTACTTCTTTTTATTGCTTTTAGTTTCATTGTTCTACTTGTTGTTCCTCTAATTTTTGAGTTGCACATTTAGATTGTTGATTTTCAGTCTTTTTTTCTTTAGGTTTTTTTTTTTTAATTTACTTAAGTAATCTTTTTTTTTTTTATGAAATTTATTGTCAAATTGGTTTCCATACAACACCCAGTTCTCATTCTAACAGGTGCCCTCCTTGATGCCCATCACCCACTTTCCCCTCCCTCCTACCTCCCATCAACCCTCAGTTTATTCTCAGTTTTTAAGGGTCTCTTATGGTTTGCGTCCCTCCCTCTCTGACTTTTTTTCCCCCCTTCCCCTCCCCATGGTCTTCTGTTAAGTTTCTCAGGATCCACATAAGAGTGAAAACATAATGGTATCTGTCTGTCTCTGTATGACTTATTTCACTTAGCATAGCACTCTCCAGTTCCATCCACATTGCTACAAAAGGCCATATTTCAGTCTTTCTCATTGCCAAGTAGTATTCCATTGTTTATATAAACCACACCTTCTTTATCCATTCATCAATTGGGCTCTTTCCATAATTTGGCTATTGTTGAAAGTGCTGCTATAAACATTGGGGTACAAGTGCCCCTGTGCATCAGCACTCCTGTATCCCCTGGGTAAATTCCTAGCAGTGCTATTGCTGGGTCATAGGGTAGGTCTATTTTTAATTTTTTGAGGAACCTCCAAACTGTTTTCCAGAGCGACTGCACCAGTTTGCATTCCCACCAACAGTGCAAGAGGGTTCCTGTTTCTCCACATCCTCACCAGCATCTATAGTCTCCTGATTTGTTCATTTCGGCCACTCTGACTGGCGTGAGGTGGTATCTCAGTGTGGTTTTGATTTGTAGTTCCCTGATGAGGAGTGACGTTGAGCATCTTTTCATGTGCCTGTTGGCCATCTGGATGTCTTCTTTAGAGAAATGTCTATTCATGTCTTCTGCCTATTTTTTCCCTGGATTATTTGTTTTTTGGGTGTGGAGTTTGGTGAGTTCTTTATAGATTTTGGATATTAGCCCTTTGTCCCATATGTCATTTGCAAATATCTTTTCCCATTCCATTGGTTGCCTTTTACTTTTGTTGATTGTTTCCTTTGCAGTGCAGAAGGTTTTTATCTTGATGAGGTCCCAATAGTTCATTTTTGCTTTTAATTCCCTTCCCTTTGGAGATGTGTCAGGTAAGATATTGCTGCAGCTGAGGTCAGAGATTTTTTCCTGCTTTCTCCTCTAGGGTTTTGATGGTTTCCTGTCTCACATTCAGGTCCTTCATCCATTTTGAGTTTATTTTTGTGAATGGTGTAAGAAAGTGGTCTAGTTTCATTCTTCTGTATGTTGCTGTCCAATTCTCCCAGCACCATTTGTTAAAGAGACTGTCTTTTTCCATTGGATATTCTTTCCTGCTTTGCCAAAGATTAGTTGACCATAGTTTTGTGGGTCCAATTCTGGGGTTTCTATTCCATTGGTCTATGTGTCTGTTTTTGTGCCAATACCATGCTG